AAAATCCAATTTCTGAAAAAAAAGATGTTTTATGGTCACTGCGCCTTGCAAGGGTTAAAATAAGGAATACGAACTGATTCCAGGCCTTCAGAACGCCAATGGCAGCATTTGTGCCAAAAAGCAAAAAATAAAAATCGTGAGCGGGTTCGAACCTTCAATAGGTTCCCCATACGCCGCCGACTACGCCACTAGGCCACGAGGCCACGGTGATGGGGGAGGGGAAGGGGCTTATGAAGGTAGGGCGGAAAAAATGCAAAATGTATGCAAAAACTTAAAATGCTTATAACTCGGCTATTTTTTTGTATGGGCAGCTGAAAGTTACACCAATCGATTCGTCTCGTCGAGCTCTATCAGTGTGCAAATTTTCAAAACGAAATTCGGTGTCGAGCTGAGACCATCTCCTTGTTAGCCTTTTTATACCTTTACACTTTCCCTTAGACCTTTTATTTCTGCTCCTGAAACTAGAAGACTTCTTCTAATTTCCGGAATTTCAAAAAGAATGTGAAATTTTTGGTTTTCGCTCTTTTTTTGTCTATCCGGTTTCTGAGATGTTGAAATCTTAAAACTGCCCTTCCGTCTCCAATTCCCACTAAATGTAGCCATTCCAATCACACTTCACCCCCTCCCCTGCCAACGTGACCAATTCCAGAAAAACGGGTGGGGACTACGTTTCGGCGAGCCCCGAGCAATCGTGCCTCGACATGAAGATCTCGTTGTACAGCACCAGCAGCAATCAGGTGAGCCGCCCAGGGAGTCGTGTTGTTTGTTGCCATTTGTAGTCGGGCCAGGGGACCCATATTTCCGTCGTAGACCATAAACGGGGGGGGGGGGAGCACGACGTCTGTGCCTGGAGGGCTAGAAAGTGCAATTACATTCCACAACCTTGCCTTGTCACTCACGCACATGCGACGGGCAATTCTGGAGACCCGAGGGGCTTATGCTAGATGGGGAGGGAAATTGCTCGAATCAGAAGTGGGAGAAGGCAAGTATAGATTACTTAATCGCACGAAGCGCACCGTATGGTATTCGTAGGCTTAGACTTGGGGCTTGGCTTGGGCTTAGGCTTACTAGTTAGGCTTGAGGTTAAGCTGAGGTCTAAGCTGAGGCTTAGGCTCAGGTGTGGTTGAGGGTTAGGCTTGGCCTTATGATTAGGCTTGGCTTTAGGTTGAGTCTTAGGCTTGAGCTAAGGTTTAGGTCTAAGCTTACGCTTAGCTTTAGCTTTAGGTTTAGTCTTAGCCTTAAGCTTAGGCTTAGTCTTACAAGGAGTGCTTTTTTGAGTCATCGGCAAAACCTTACGAGACCTAGCTCATTCGATAGAGAATTCGATTCTGAACAAAACCCCGTTGTGCTTTTTTGCAGAATGGCTATCCCTGATTTTATAAAATTTTAAAACTGTTCCCAAAAGCCTCCCTTTTGGCTCGAAAGGCACTCATGGTAAGAGACGGTCACTAGTATTTTAATTTTATAAAATCAGGGATAGCCATTCTGCAAAAAAGAACAACGGGGTTTTGTTCATAATCGGATTCTCTATCGAATGAGCTAGGTCTCGTAAGGTTTTGCCGATGACTCAAAAAAAAAAGCACTCCTTTTTAGTGCAGACTTGACCATGGCCTTTGGATTAAGTTGACACCGCCTACTCCCTATTAGAGTGTATCGTAGCGACTTACGCACCTTCATTTTTCACGCAATTACTTCTAGAAAATTCGTCTTCCCTTTCTCAGGTTACGGTACCTTGCCTCTAATTGTCCGCTGTTTACCCGGGCAACCGAACCCACAACCCGACCCGCATCACATACACAGACATACAGAGAGACCCGCACACACATTCTGGGGATGGGCTCGCTTACCGGGGGTCGCCTCGGCACAAAAGGCTCATTTGACGACTCCCACCCCGTTTAGACACACCACGAAATCCGAGACGTGGTTACGGTAGCTGCTGCTCCGCGAGAACACTACCATCACCTCGGGTAAGTTCAAGTTTTGATCAAGTTACGGTTGGTTAGACTTGGGCTTAGGGTTCGGCTTGGGTTTGGGCTTAGCTTAGTAGACCTAGAGTTTGGCTTAGGCTCAGTTTGAGAGTGATAGCTATGCGGGATTGTCCTAGATGCGTACGGCCCAGCTGCGTCAAAACGTTTACGTAACATGGCGTAGCGTAGCGTTAAATAACGTAGCGTAACTCAGCAGATGCGTCTACTGGTCGATTAGATTAATTAGAGCGTGGTTAGGGCATCTTACGCGCATTAATTACACGAACACAGGCATTTTTCACGGTTGAAAGCTTATTCTGCACTCGACTCATTCAATGCAATCAAAATATACACCTCGTAGTAAAAACCATACGAACTTTAACGGCTGCCTCGACCCGTCAGCGCCGCGCTTGTCACAAAATCTCCCCATAAAGTCACTAGTCTACCAACCACCACTAAAAAGTGCACACGCCCAGCAGAGTCAAACTTCAGATTACAAACCCGCTCGTTAGTTTTAATGGCCCAAGCTCAACGGGATATTTTTGTCATTTTTGCTGTCCATTTTCAACCTGTTGAAATCCCCCCGGGTTTCGAGATCGTCGACCACAGTAGCCCGCAACGGGATGCACCGACTGCCAGTTTTTTGCCACCTGAGTCACATTACACATTGACTCGAACAGAAAAGGCTTATTCGGTGGTGGGCTGCCCCCCCCCCCCCTCACAACTGCTATCGCGCTTTGCCACTCTGGGCCACCGTAGTCGTTTCGCAACAAGGAGAAAGGAGGCTGTCCCCCACCCGAAGTCACGGCCGCCCTGATTTCCCCAGGAAATGCCTTGTTTGGAATTGGAGAGTGGGAAAAGTCGCGGAAATCAGGGGATACAGGGTGGTCCATAAGTATTGTCGCGCGTCTATAACCGTCTGTATCTAATCGGAGCCGTGAGCAATCGGCTAGCGAAGCACATGCTTTATGCAGTTTTTTTTCCTCTATCCGATGGTAATATTGGCTGGCTAATTTTTTTTTTAGATCTCGGTTTCTAGCGCGCATTTTCCAAGACGCCTAGACACCTCCTTCCAATCTAAGCTTAAAAACCGCTTTTTAGAGGCTCCGTTGGTCACAAAACAACGATATATTCGCTACAATTTTTATTTCAATAGAAAGAGCGGATAAAACTGTACAAACGGAACCGCCAACCACAATTTTTTCCAACTTCGTTTTTGAGGGAGAGCTATTCAAAAATTAGGAGAACCGAGTGCGCCGCGCTCGGCCCACCCGTCAGCAAAATCGAGATTGTGGCGCCTAAAAAGCCAGGAAAGCCGTGCCAATTTTTCTGGAATGAATTAATGCTGTTTCTCAAATATTCCCAAAATTTGAGCGCAGATAGCCAACCGCCGTTCAAAAAAATTGAGATTTTCTGTCTGATGGCAAACCCCGCATAATTTTTTTCATATCAAAGGTCAAAAATCGACAGCGCCTAGTTCAAGCGTCCATTCGAGACAAATGGTCAGGAAGCATAGCAATATAATGCCAGGTTGCGGCCTGGTAGCTCCAGTAAGAAATAAATCCAAGAAAACTAAAAAATTGCGGGGACGCCTCTGATGCTCACATTTTCGCCCAACATTGCGGACGCCATAATTACTTCAAATCGCAAGCTAATGAAATTTCCATTGGGGACAATGAAGAACGAATTGGTAGCTACCTGAAACCAATATCAAAAGCAATGCTCTCCCTCTATCTCTGGAGTTACGGCCCTTCTTCCAAAAATTGGGACACGGCGCACCCCAACTTTCTGAAGCCCACTTTAAGCAACCTAACTCGCTCAAATAGCATTATTCCAAAAAACTTTCTAAAGCAGAGTGGTTTCTAAATACTCTCTGAAGCTAGCTATTCGGGCGAAATTGGTCTAATTGGCCCCTCGAATAAGATATGATGCTTTGAAAAGCGACAATACTTCTGGACCACCCTGTACGGTAGTTCGGTTAGGGCCGTAGCTTCCGGTCCGACCTATGAGATGTTTGCTCCGTGTGAATTTGATGTTTTGAATCGGAGAGTTTGCTTTTATCAACGTAGCAAATCTCTGAAACGTGCCTTTTAATCCAAAACTATGTAATTTAGCAAAATGACTATACATTGCAAATTATGGCATGTGCATCGTCATTAGGATTCTCGCGGAACTTTGCCTTCTGCATCGCGTAGGAAAAGCAACGAGCTACAAAAGATACGTTAGTTGGCTCCTGCTTAATGGGTAAATCTGTTTTCGGCTATTAGCCTTTCCTAAATCTACTTAATTACGTTTTTATATAGCACACCGTCAAAAAGATTAGTTCGGTTAGGGTAGTTATTCGGCATAGCTTTATGGTATCGCGAAAAAATGACTCGGTAATGACTAATTTGCATAAAGACGTTTCAGATTAGGCTTAGTGTAGGTCCGCCTATTGGTTATTCTGGCATAAGATTGGATAATTACCGGTTCCGACGTGTCGAGACTAGCAACCCCCCCCCCCCCTAACTTGCCATTACTCATCCCAAATCAAACTGAAAAATTTGCCAGAATTTTCGAACACCCTCCGACCCGTATATTTGCATTGTCTGCTCCGCCGGAGGGCTTATCGCTTTTTACGGTTTACTACCGAGAAGAATTTACTCCCGTGATTCAGAATTTCGAAAGCTTTGCGCAAGCCGTTTTTTGGTAGTGGGGGGCTGGGGCAAGGTGGTGAAACAGACCGGCAGGCGCCTCCGCCCCTCTCAATTTGTCTTATTTTGCATCCAGCCTTGAAAGGTTTTTTTTGGAGATTGCTAGTCGTACAATAGGAAGAGGAGGTTTTTTATCCCGGAACCGTGCCAGTCCCCCCAATAACCCGCTGGGGGCTGTCGATATTTTTAAAAGCTCGATCCGCTCGAGCGGGGCCCCCGGCTGAATGCCAATGGGTCTCCCCCGGTGGGCTTCTGTGTCGCTTCCTCTCTCGCGCCATTCAAATGCCCCCACCACTCGGATGGAGACCCCGAAAAAAGCTATCATCTGTTGTTCTTCAGAATGGACAACAGCTCCGACAAAGGCTACGACTCTGACCTTGATGAGAAGTTCTCGGGGAGCGGTGATGAGAACACGGGCAATGGGCAGGAAGTGGAAGGTTTGTTGCTTTTAATGGTAAAATCTATGAAGACAAATTTTCGATTTGTCGATTACCCAAACAGTTCACTTTTAGCCGACGGCGTCTTTTTCTTCGATGAAGACGTGGACTGGCAGAAGATTAAGAGGCGATCCTTCGATATTGAGGACGACAAAATGGAGGCGCCAGGTAGTAAAAACCAGCGTATTAAAATTATCTAATTTTGGCATTATTAAATTTCGACGCTATAAAATGTTTACAATATGAAAATAAGCCTAAAATATAGTGACACGCTCCGAACGCTTCTCCAACTACGAGGAGCTCGTGCCGATGGGTCGACACCGACGGTCTGGCAATGAAAAAGTCCATCCGCGAGGTAGCACAATAATTTTGTAACTTTAGATTGCCATGAAATATATTATACCCATTTTACCTTTATTTTTCAGAACTGAAGACCGCCTGGGGCCAGATGCGAGCCGCTCCGAAGTCGTCGCCGCCGGTGCCTATTCCTGGCAAGGAAAACTATCAGCCGTGCTGGGATGACTCTTTCGAATTCAACCAGAGATTCGGAATGTATCGTAATCAGGTAAGGAAACATGTTATTTTTTTAACTTGAGGCTCGGAAGTGACGGAAATGAAAAACTTTTTTACTTTTTCGCTTTTTAAGCTTCAAGTTTTTTCCGCCGTCTCCCGACCGAACGCATCTCTAAAATCTATATTCTCAAGAATTTAGAACCAACGGGACACCTCCAACCATCATCAGAATGTCGACCCGCGGTGCCAGAAGCCAGACGGGCCCCCCTCCTTCCACCCATCACACTAAATCGTGTCCCCCACAGCCACCGTAGCCTTCTAGAATTGTCCTAGCGCAATATTTCTTCTTCGCAGTTCATATCAGTCCGTAGCCTCCAATCATTCATTCCCTCAATTTTTCTCTTGGTTTCTCACGATTTCAGCTCTATTTCAATGGGTGACTTTTGACGTGCGCTTCTACCCAAACCCCCGAATGCTCCGTGTTTCTTGATTTTTGCCAATTAGCTACGTAGCTCCACTTACACGTTTTCTTGCGCTTTTTGTTGCTGGCAACTTTTCATCTCCCACCACACACCAGATTCTCATTCCAAAGCTTTTAGCCCCGAAAATTGTGATGCAATGCAAGGGGCGTTTCTGGCCCAAGTCGCGGGCCGGCAAACGCCTTCCGCCAATCTCCTACCTCTGCTTTACGTTTGCTGAGATGGATTCTCCCCTATGAAGTGCTGGGCTCTTTTTTATCTAGCGCCCGTCCCGACATGCCCCGGGCATACTGTACACGTACTCATTGCTCACCCCACCCTCCCGGCACCCCCACTACGCAACAATACCCTGTACCCCCGGGGGTCGGGAGGGACCCATCCCGTGTGCTGTCTGCCCCGGCTCGACAAGGCCTCGATTTTTAGCGTTTTTGCGAAGTATTTTTACGTTGTTGTTTATATATGAAAATCCGGCGGCTTAATCTGGTTATTTGGTGGTCAGAGGACATTTTTGCTTGGAGATCGTTGGATTTGCCTTGAAAAATCTTAAACTTAGGTTCAGGCTTAGTCTAAACCTAGGGTGAGGCTTAAGCTTGGGCATGAGCTTGGCTTAAGCTTACGCTTCGCTTGGGCTTAGGTTTAGGCTTGTGCTTAAGCTTAACCAGGCCAAATCTGATGCCTAGAAATAAAGAATTGCCTTCCTAGCCGCCACCTGAAACCCGATTTCCCCCGGAATTTTTCCGATTTCGGTCTCAACTCGTTTTGTTCTTCAACGACCCTTCCCATCGTTGTCGCACAAAATGCGCCACAGCTGGGGGGATCATCTGAGAAAATTATGAAACCCTTGGACCCAGTCAAAAGCTCAGATGATCCCCCATCTCCTCCCCTTCCCCCCATTTCGAGGGGAAGGTTGGTCTCAGGATGGTCCACACCACTCCATTCATTCTATTCACAACAATTTCCCCGTCTATCATGTGATCGTCGATTCCACACAACACGAAAACTGTGCTTACGCCCAAACTACTCCTATTCAATTTGTAGCCCCCGGCAGATACCGGGGGCTACCCTCAATCTAGTGTGCACTATTCTTCTTCCTTGTGCTTACCCCCAACACTGGCGCCCTGGTAGTCAAGGGCTGGCCAGCGCGGGTCTGGATCGAATAAAGCGTTGTTGAGATAGTTGAGATGGTCACTATGAAATGCAAAATATATTTTGCAACTTGATATAAAAAAACACGACAAAAAAACACCTACGGACCTCGAAATTGTGCCCCACAAAGATTGTCAGCCTGAAGCCTAAGCCTAGGCCTAAGCTAAGCCTACGCCCAACCTAAGCTACGCCTCTGCTAAACCTAAGCTAAGCCTAAGCGCAAGTCGAAGGCTAAGCCGTAGCCTCAGCCAAAGCCTAACCTAAGCATCGGCCAAATCCTAAGCCTGGGCCAAGCCTAACCCTGCGTAAAAGCCTAAGCTAAGCCTAAACCTAAAATTAAGTTTTTAATATGCTATGTTCACGAGATAAAAGAGCTTTGCCAGCCCCGGCCGACCCGAACATTACCATGCGAATAGTATTAGTTGTTTATTTATCGAGGCCCTGTGCCGGATGCGGCCCCCACACCTCAATTAATATTCCATATATCGGCGCTTTTAGCATAGGGTCAGCTATTCAAAGACCAACGCACCCAGATAGAGCCCAGGTCGGCAAGTCAAAACACCCAAAATTGCCCGAAACCCGGGGGCAATCGATGAGGCCTGGAAAAGATAAGACCCCGTGCAAATCAGCAGCCCGTCTGAGTTTCCTGATGCGGTATGAGGTGCTTTAATACAATCGAACGGCAACAATTAGCTTCAGAATCACCTTCTTCCATAGAAGAGCCAGAGTGGTGTACGCTGGATTGCTGTCTTTGACGTTTCTAACACTTTTCTATTTCGGTATAAGTGTCAATCACTCTGAAAATACTGATCCAATCTATATCTACACCGCAACAACGTATTTTGGACAAAATTTTAGCGAATATGACTTTCCGGATCGATGTCCTGAGCTCAAGGTAAATAAAATTTGAGCTAAAACATTAAAAAAATAAAAATACATTTAAAATTTAATTTAATTTAAAGATTGTCCTTAGCAGATGACACATCGAAAGTATGTAAAATACTATTTTAGCGCCCCTGCATCAGAACTGACAATCCCCAGAAATATTCAAAAGTCTCGGCCGTAATATTTCACAGCGTTGATTTCAAATGGACGAGCGATCTACCCGGCCCGCGGAACCTAAACATTCCATTCATCTTCTATTCGCTCGAAAGCCCATCAAATGACGCGATGCGCATGCCATACGGTAAGCCATCCAAAAATTAAGATTAGGAATTTTTCGTCTAGCGTTCCTGAATTGGACGATGCACTACAAGCGAAATTCCGACGTCTGGAACCCGTATGGGCGCCTTGTGAGGCTTCGCTCTGTGGTAAGACCCTTAATTTGAGTTATATTCTTGTAGAAAAATAAATTAAAGAACCCCTGGGCGGAAAAAGACCCAAAACTCGAAGCTGTATGGATCGGCTCGAACTGCGACACCCTCAACCGACGTTTGGAGTACATACAGTTGCTGCAAAAGCTTGGGCTAAAGATATCTGACAGAATTTTAGTAAGTAAGCACTGGACTTACAGGTTGACATCTTTGGAAAATGTGGGCAGTCCGTTCCTAAGCAATGTGACGGTCTCGAAAATCGCTATTCTGATTGTATGAAAACTGTCACTAGGTAGGTGTGGTCTTGCTTATTTAATAAAACTACAGTGGCTGAATTATATCTTTCAGTGTCTACAAATTCTACATAGCCTTCGAAAATTCAAACTGCCCCGATTACGTAACAGAAAAATTCTTCGAGACCCTACAACGAGGTCTCATTCCGATTGTGGTAAAACGGCAGTATTATGAAGACCTCGGGGTAAGGTAACTGAATCAGATTATGCACCTCTTCATGCCAGATACCAAGCGATATATTTATCGCTGTGGATGACTTCAAGACCCCGGAAGAGCTGGTACGCTACGTCAAGCGAATAGCCGCTGATGAGCAGGCATACAATCGATACTTTGAATGGCGCAATCGATACAGGTTCGTTTAATTTAATGGTTGGCTTTTAAAATGTAACGTTTAGGGTGGTAACCCATTTGGAGCCGGACCCTGAAACTGGCTGGTGCGCTCTATGTCAAAAACTCCAGAAGGGTCCACCGTATCCCAAAACAGAGGACAAGCCAGATATCCGTCAATGGGCCACGACTCCTCGGTGTGACGACGGGTTTTTGTATAAATTTCTCGATTAGCTGGAATTATGATCTTTGAAAAACTTGGTTTTCACATTTTAAGGTTGAATTTTGAGCTTGATCGATTACGTTATTTACAGCGCCGAGGCGGTTGAAAACAAGCTATAAAAGACGAGGAAGATGCATGAAAACGACCAAAGAAAGGTCAAATTGTTCGAACTTTGAAAATTGCTTAAACAATTTTTAGTAACTTTTGTCGGTCAAAAGCCACTAAAGAATAGACAAATACCCTACTGGTGAGCAACAGCTAGGTATTGATGGAAAAATAAAAATCAGTCTGCCCCAGCTATAAATCCCCCTGCTAACAGTCCAGTACCCTAAAATCTACTGCTATAGCTTTGTCGTCCTGGTTTTTAATAGCATTCCCCTTAAAACAAAGAGGATAATCCATCACCGATCGCCCATAAATTTGGACCAGACGTCAGACCCGATATTTTCTCACGGGCTGCGATAGTCCGGGGGAATTCCCCACCTCCGGTCTCGACCCTGCTATGATGGTTCGCACTTTTCATGTACGGAAAGTGATGGTTGAGAGTGAGACAGCTCAGAATGCGCGGTACATCCCCCACCCGAGAATTGCCCAATGCGATTTCTCAAGGCGTGAGCTCAACGTGATGTTGGTCGATTCGATGGTCGGGTGGAGACCAAGGGAGGCGGAGCTGCCTTTCATTTGACTACGATCCGTCCGCAGAGTTTCAGGCCCGTTTTTATGCTTGACTTGAAGCGTGTTGCGGGCAGATAGAACATTCGTTCAATCCTAGAACGCTTAATTATAGTCCCGCCTTGCCCAGAACCGGGGTGATTAAAAAATGCGTGCGCCCCAAGAGCGTAAGGTCCTTTGTTATTGAAAAGTTATGTATTTATATAGAGTTGGAAAGCGAGTTTGCTCGTTTACCTTAAAACTGATTCTTCCTAGCGTGATATTTGATAAATCTGGCCGGCCTACCGTGTTTATTTAAACTTGAAAAAGATGAATAACTAAATACCGACAACAGATTCAGCATTTCTTTTCCGCCTTGATTTGTTATTTTTGTCATCGGAAATGCAATAATTACGTAAGTAAATATAGACAATTTTGGAAACTTATTTTCAAAAAATCAACGTTCCACTGAGTTCAAAATTTTTACAGCCTCTTTTTTGAAACATTACCGGCTTCGTAACCTGTATTTCATTAAAAAAACCAAAAATTTGTGGAGTCGTCAAAATTCTCTAAAATTCGGTTAATCAAATCTATTCAGAAAATTTTGCAATTTTAGGATCCGCATTCGTTGTCACAGTATCAGTTTCTTTGATTTTTGTTTTTTAGTTGTGCATTTTTTTAGCTTTTTATTTCAGCCATCTAGTTTAGTCAAACAGGGGGTAAGCCCAACCTGTATACCCAAAGAGTCCCCCACCCTAACCCACCGTCATTCCCTGGGTACTATAAATGGACCATGATAGAAACCAACTGTATGGCAGGGGAAAGGGGTGACCGGTCGAAAGCTGACCCTCCTCCCGCCCTCCTCCTCCTCCTCCTTTTCTTGAACCGACGCAAGGAATTCCCGTTGCAAGGCCGACTGGGGGCAGAAAGGTCGAGGAGGAAAGTCCGGAGGTGAGAAGGCCTTGAAACGGGAATCAGGGCCACTTAGGATCAAATACAAGGTTGCGCTTGTTGCTCTGATCAGGGTCATCTGCCTCTCTCCGAAAGGATAGCAAACGGTAGAGCAATAAAACGGTCTGGCGGGGGGATACTGTAAAAAAACCCCTGATACTGTAAAAGTAAAATCCGCCACAAATATTGTATCTTCTAAACCAAGAAACTAAGTAAATAAGGTTGTTTAGGTTTAGCTTACAGACTATTATCTTTTGACGGCAAGTTGATGATTTTCAAAAGCTATCCTTGTTTTTAATATTATCCTAATCAGAACATTTCAGAACACGAAACCCCCCTACTCACAAATGCCGGTCCAAGAATTCGATACCATCGACTACCTCGGCGCCCTGGTGGTCGGCGTAATCTTCAGTATCTGTTGCTTCCTCTTCACAATATTCGTCAATTTCTTCTGGATCACGAAGTACGACAACATTACCGTTTTTGAGAGGGTAAGTTTTGCTCATAACTATCAATGATTTTTGTCATTTCTAGAAACGGAAAACTATGCAATCATCTATGCAAACCTCACTTTAGCTCGGCTCAAAATACAACATGCGTCTGGGCCCTCATCGCGTAAAAGAGGTTCAAAGGACCATCTATCTGGAGGAGACTGAAGATTGCGATCGTCTCAGTCTGAAGGTTGACGAGGATAGCTAGAAATAAAGTATATCAACAATTAGATCCTTAATAAATATTACGCGTTTTATCTACTGGAGACTACAAGCATACGACAAGCCACAAAAACCCGGCCCGAGATAGCAAGCGTTAAAAGCGCTGTTTTTCTTGCTCGTCATTGGCGCAGAAACAAATCGGATTGCCAGGTAGCCTTATCTACACTATTGCAGCAAATATTGATTTTCTAATATAACCCAATATTTTTCTTTTACCTTTAACTTTTTTAGTTAGGATTTTTAATTGTGTAGGCATTCCAATAAATCAACTGCCCCCGGTCGTAATCAGGGTAAAGGCGCGGGTGATAGCGCTTACATCACAACCCCCTCACCTTATCAATTCCACGAAAAAGGCTAGCCTCTCAATGGGTCAGATCCATTCTTAGGAACAAACCATACTACCGCTACTACTTCTCAAAAATGGCCGTTCCGGATTATTTTCTCGATAAGGCGTTCGTTGAGGTTCGACAGGAGAACATTGATGAATTCTTTGCCGTGCGAGGTAGGACATTTTGTATATTACTAACAAGGAGTGTCCGTTTGGTGTCATCGGCAAAACAATTTGAGACCCCGCTCATTCGATAGAGAATTGAATTCTGAACAAGACTGTGTTGTTCATTTTTGCGGAATGGTTGTCCCTGATTTTATAGAATTAAAAAACCAAGCGCGAAACCTTAACAACTCGCTCCCCAAGCACCAATGTATGGGCATCGCCGGCAGTTTTTTAATTTTATAAAATTAGGGACAGCCATTCCGCAAAAATGAACAACACTGTCTCGTTCAGAATTCAATTCTCTATCGAATGAGTTGGGTCTCGAATCGTTTTACCGATGACACCAAAAGGACACTCCTTGTAAGTAGCTTGTCTGCTTTTGCTTCCAAATCTTATGAAAATAAAGCCTAAACGGCGCCTTCAGGAGTACCATGGCTAATTCGCAAGCTGATCGTCGGAAAAATGAAAAACGGCCGATTTCATTTGACTAAACACGGAGACGTAATTGATTTTGTGCATTTCGAAAATGACGTACCTTCAGAAGTATCACATTGCTGTCGGAGATCCCGGCAAAAACCTGGAATACGACTTCACTCTCGGTGAGAAAATCCGCGCCACTGGATATGATGGGAAAGAGCATGAGGTTCGTAATTTGGATAGAAATTACTATCATTGTGTAGCATAGCGTACGATCGCAGTAGACCTTTTTATATACACTTATATCCATGCACAATCGAAGATACATATGAATTTAGATTAACTCTAAATTCGATTCCAAGAGCTCTACAAAATCCCTTGTATTAGGAGAACTCAAAATACAAAACAATTCCAGATCACTTTCTCTTGCGAAGGCGGTCGCTTCATCGAGAAACATTTAAACCTGTCGCGTCCCGAGGTTGGCGAAGACGTCACCTACTATGAATTTAGGGACGGCACCCTGTACTCGGTAATTCTCAGAATTTCCAATGCTTTTTAGCTCTGTGTATTTTTCGATTACTCATTTTACCCTATGAGTCCGATATTTTTTAGGAATGCACAGCTACGAAGGAGTCAAAATCGGTCACCTGGAAGCGCGAATTCAAGCAGAAATAATTCTGGGGAAAAGGCTATGTTGTTATGATGTACGGGACGAATAAACGGCTTAATCTTGGATTATGGATGAGTCATTGGCCCCTTTCGTTAGTTGACTTGAAAGCGGAGGATTATTGCGAAATATCAGGACATCTGGTGCCTTGTGACGTCTGGAATTCCGCTGTATGACATTTTCTGATTAGTTCCGCGCATTTTTAAGCATAATTGCTCTAAAAAGTTCGAGCTTTCCTTGCCATAACTTTGCAGGTTATGGACGGTTACCGGGGGGAGGGCGACGTTTGGGCAAGGGGACAAACGAATTTTTTCTTTCCACTTATACCTGGAACTATGCTTATGCCAGTTAGTAATATTTTTTGTAGCTTGAGGATAATTTGACGATTTTTACCTTATTTGTCATTTTCATAACTAATTGATTAGTTTTTTACCACTCACTTCTGTTTATAATACTATAAAACTTATTTATATTACGTTATAGGCCGTAACGGCTTGCTCCAAAAAAAATTGGCCCGTCCTTACTAACAGTCCGTTACCAATTTTCATCTAAGTATCGACTTGGTTCCCTATCCGCATTCGGGCATTGGTCAATTGGCGTTAATTGTTGTTATTTCCGAGGTCTCCGTCCAGATTGCAACGCAATAATTTATTTATATGTCGCAAAAAACGGGGACCCCAACTAATCAGGCCAATTCCACTCGCCGGGATCCCCACGTGTTATTTTTAGGCCCCACTGACGCTTGCCCCAAATTTTCTGCGCCTTCCCGGCCCTGAGAAAAGTGGCGGGGCCCACGTGCGTTTGTAGTTGGACTAAATTTTTCTTGTCGGACGTAATTGCCCGTTTGAAATGGTCTTTTAGAGACCCTGATTTTGTCATTTTCCGGTGTTTTAAATGAACTGGAAAGTGTAGAACATGACCAATATTGTCAATTGATTCTTGAAACCTACGACAAAGGCCAAATATTCTAAATCTAAGTCTCTAAGTCTAAATATTTTTATTAATGTTCTTATAAATATAAAATCAGCGCCAAAGTGGTTTGGTGGCTTTCCTAGTTGTCGAATATGTAAAACGAATGTCAAATCTCGCGCTTGAATTCCAGCGAGAATTTTAATTTTAAGCTGTTTGAATGGGTGATTGTGGCGCTGTTGCTCCCTATTTCCTTGATTTATGAAGAGAAAGAACGATAGATATATTTTTTCTCAAACGAATGCTGAAATGGTGTCAAAAATCATTTTCCTATTTGTATAATCAACCCCTCACTCTTCCCAATGGGGCCTCTGTCCATTTCGAATTTGTTGCGGAGGGACTCCCCGGGGGGCACCAGATTTGCGGGATCCCCGCATTTTTTGCAGATCAATATTGGGGACACCGCTGGGGCCACAAAGCGGCTTATCTAAAGAGGGGGTAGAGCAGATGGGAAGACAGCAGAAGAACATGGTTTCCAAGTTACAGGCAAGAAAATGAGGGGCCGGGGTGTGAAAATGGGAGTGCCCGGATTAGGGTTGGGCCCCTGTTTTTGCGCCTAATTGCACCTTTATATTTTCCCGGGAGCCCCGGGGCAATCCCCTCTCATTTCTCGACTCTCCAGGCCGTTCGCGACTTCCTGTAGATCTGACTCACCTGGCGGGCCGGGGGGCTTGCTTTGAGATTTGACTCTTCGGACAAAAATTTGCGAAAATCGAGCGATTTTCAGATATTTTGGGGAATTCCGGGTAGGATGTTTGGAGTTCCACTTTACGCCACGCTACTCTGCCTTTCGGCTTTTGCAGTGATGGACGCGGTATAAAAATTGTAGAATTAAATTATTAATTTGCCTGCTGTATAGCGCAACCATCATCACACCGGCCATGCACATGGTGATGCGGGCAAACAGAACGTTAGCGTGCTACAGTACCGACCTAAAGGTTAGTATGATATTTACATATAAAATAGCTTATAAAACGTTAGTATAAAAAATATTTTTGGTAGTAAGATGTGTATGAAGTATCTTATAACAAGTCTTGTTTAGTCTGCACGGAAGTGCGGCACCCCGGCGACAAATGGCACTTTTGCCCAAAGCCCCGAACCGAAGACGGGTCTGACTGGCCATGCATACGGTAAGTATCCAACTAATATTCAATTTCTACGAATTATGTCAAGTTACAAGTTCAAATTTAAATTGAAACCATTAATTATACCTACTTGCAGCGCCTCGGACCTGTGCAACGGCCTGAAAGACTGCCCAGAAGGCCTCGACGAAGACCCGCAAGCCTGCTTCTTCCATCAATTGGTATAAATATTTGTAGATAATTCCCCTATCATCGATAGCCGCTTTAAGGCCGTCTCCCAAGTGCAGGACATCCACCACGCGGCCTATAACGACCTGAAGACGCTGAAGAAACAGCAGGCCAAACCCGCGCGCAACGAGTTTGACGAGGAGTGATTATCACCTTTTGCCCATATCCCCATCTATATTCCGCAACAACCCACTTTTCAATAGTGTGATGCATAAACGTGTTACTGTTTGAATCGAATTACAATTTAAATACATACAAGTAAAGTATCTAAAACTGCGATAAAAATTTTATTTATAGAAAGAAAAATTCAAAATCTTTGACAAGAGCCTAGCGATTCAATGTCGGGGTTGGGCGAAAAATTAGAGAGAAAATGAGATGATGATGATGATGGCTGGTTGAGGTTCCATCGACGAAAGAATTTGAGTGGACTTTACAGGGTGGCTGAAAAGTTCCCGCAATTTCTTCTAGCAGGTCAATAGACGGAAAATTCCTAAAATTTGGCTGAGCTAAAGCAACAGCAACTTTATTTACTACGTAATCAACAGATTACAACACAAAAATCCGCAAGAAATGTTGATGAATTCCACCAGTAGCTGAATAGAAGCGCGCAGGCAGCCATGAAAATTGCCGGCCATGGTCGCGCCCTCCGAGTGAGCAACGAGGCGTCAATATTTTCGCCATAGAATCGAGCCGGAACGGGCAAAATCATCGTAAACTCTTCAAAAACGGTTAATACAGGAGTCTTGGTCTATCATTCCCGTTTTCCGAGAGTTTTGATGATTTGATTAGAAATCTAGAGCCCCAGTAACCCTTAAACCGTTTTGGTTCAAAAAAATGTAAAAATCGAAGTCGCCGAGCATTAATATCAAGCCCTTAGGATCGTTTCAGAGCCATGAATTAAGCAATCTTTTAGCTAAAACGTTTTCACGCTTAAGCAAGACTGAACACCAGGTTTTCCGGCCCGTTCAACTATCACCCTCTGGGGAAAGTTGCAATCGCGTTTCTGCGGCTTTGATGTTTGGGCCTCCAACTCAGTGGATTCAATTTTTTTGATCTTTTGGTTTCGACCATTTTGTAGCAAAAGAGCTCAGAAAAACGGTCCACTACAGTGAATTTCTTTAAAACAGCCCTGGAGAGTGCCAGGCCTCGGTTATTGTGGCAGAGGGCGCGACCAAGGGAGGCAACTTTTCAAGGTGTATGCGCATTTGTATCGAAGCGTCTGGAGGAAGCTGTGAAGATTTATTGTGGATTTTTGTTTCGCAATTTGTTCTTTACGTCTTAATTAAACTATTAGTTACCATAAGTTCTCTACCTCATTAGAATTTTAGGAATTTCCAGTCCATTTAACAGTATCAAGAAATTGCGGGAACTTTTCAGCCACCCTGTATATAGTAAACATGATTTTAATTTTTTTGAAAAGCTGAAGACGATTTTTGGGACTCGTACAAGTAGTGATTAGACAGGGTTGTTCCGATCTCGGGGATGCACGGCAGTGATTGCAGTTTTTCGGCGGTTTTGGAGCGAAAATTCAAAAAAGGCACCGGGAAGAGCACCAAAAACGATAGCTGGAGATGATTTAGAGCTCCTTCTTCGATTTCTTTCCGGATTTGGTGGGTGGTGGTGGCGGGGGCTCGTCATCGTCATCATCATCTGCAGTCAAATGCTCCGCCAAATTTTAGGAATATTACCATCCAACGAGATCTGCCCGCTCATGATCTGGTCCACCCAGGTCTGGAGGACTTCGAAGTTGGAGTCGGAGTGCTTCTTCGGGTCGTCAAGGTTCACTTGGGACATGTCGAACCAGATTCCTTCTTTCTGGAAGGTTGGGAATACACGGCGTGATAACCTATAGATCTCCAAATTCAGTAATTTCAGAGATTCCGGGGCCGATTTTCATAACTAAGACATCCTCAGTAAAAACTCCTTTTGGAATTCAGACCTGACTTCAAAATTCGCAAAAACGCGCGTTTTTACCCACAAATATGAGTTATACAAGTTTGGCTCTTTGCCCCAGCCTACTTAGACCTCTTAAATCCTTTTGTAATCAAGCCTAACCTACCTCCGAAATATCAACCAATCCAATCTGAGGTCCCTCCTCGATATCAATGCCAAACATCTCTTCCCAGACATCGACCATCAGTGGGAACTCATCTAAAAACCCACATAATGCTCGATTTCGGGACCCACCAGGATCAACAAGGATAATCTCCAGGGTTCCGGCGTGCTCCGAGTTTTCGTCGGCCAGCTTGTCGAGCAGCTTCTTCATCGCTCGGCCCTCACGCGTCTCCTCGTCGACGAATGCCAGTACCATGCGCTCATCCTCCTCTGGGTCGCGCTAAAAATGTAATTATGGCTGCGATATTGGACAATGTTTTCTAATGCGATGTGTATTCTTTGGTTAGACATCATACATATTTAATTATTTGTAAAGCTTACCCAGACGTTGAAATAGTTGTCCAGCTGCAGCTTGACCATTACCGGCTCCTTGTGCTTCTCCACCCAGTCCTGGATTCAGAGTATGGATCTTGCTCTCCCTAAATTACCTCGAATTCCTCCTCGGTATCCACAGAGGTTGGAGCGAAAAGTGGCGATTCCTCGAATGGCCTCCACATCTGCACCTCACCAACTCGCTTGAGTCCGACTTTCCTGGCCCACTAAGTCGAAAAGATTTTTTGGGAGATTTCTTTACTTACGTAGCTGTTCACAACAGCGTAGAACTCGATTTCCCCCATAAAATCTTCAGCGGCTTCTTCGAATTCTTTCAGGGCTGCAAGAGCATGTACTTGGGTTTTTTTTGGTTTTTCTACCGGCCGATCCGGGCTCGAAATAGCCAACAATCCTGACACAATCGTCCTCGAGCTCTTCAAACTCCTCGAGATCGTGCTCGTCATTGATGATGGTCACCGGATCATCCGGGATCTAGAAAAGTTGTTTTTCTCTACGTTCTAGGAGACCAACGTCCATCAGCCACGACACGAACGTCTCCGGGTCGCGGACACCGTTGTACTCGATCTTGTACCCATCCTTGTAGACGTGGATCGTATCCTCGCCCTTTTCGACCTCTGAAATTACCCTTAATTGCTTGATACCGTATGCGGCTTGTCATATCCTACTATATATAAAAAAATAGTGTTTGTGTGTGTGTAGACACTTTGCATAAAAGGCTCGAAAAAACCGGGTTATTGAGATATCAGGACTGTAAAAGCGTTTTAGGGGCCAACTGAAACGTATTTAGGGGTATTCGAAGGCGTAGATTACTGCGCGCTTATCAGATTTTTAAGAAAATGATGATTTATACCTTATTTTAGTCTTTTAAAAACATATGGAAATGTCCTCATTTGCATACGAGCCGTTAAGGGGCTCATTTCGGATTTTGTCACGCTCGCATCCGGTCGCTTTTGTTTTATTCAGTTGAGAGGTTGGCGCTAATTCGCTAGAATTATGCAAAGTGAGCAGCTTTTAAAGATACCCCCGCAAAAGCCAGGGGTGAAAAGCCGCGTAGCGGCTTTTCAACCCTGGTAAGTTATAATTTACAAGACGCCCCGTAATTTCTCATTACTTTTTTGGTCGTAGTCTCGCGCTCAGATAATTCGTACCCACGCCCTAATTTGTGTAGCAAGTGACTTTATTGTTTTTGACGGGACGGGGGGAAAGAATTACATCGTATTTCTGTAACTTTTTCCGCGGTTTTTAACCATAGAATTAAAAATTATCAAAGCTAGCGAAAGTTTTTGATTTTTGGTCTAAAATGCATGAAAAAACAACAAAATTTCAAACTTTTATAAATTCTAAAAAATTTTATGACTTTTTATCAATGAAAAACGGTGACAATGCTTATAAAAATACACAATTTTGCGAGGTATGGGTCAGATAATCCCCCGCTAACAGTTCAGTACCGACATTTTCAAGCATATGAGCTTTTCAGGTAGGTCTTCCCCGGCATATTTTCACCTTACCCATTCGGGCCCATCTCGGGCCCATCCCCCCCCCCGGTTGAATGGATCATGTGGGCTTTTCCGGGCACATCAATCCGAGGTCAAGCCTCAACCTCGCCGATGACGGGCTCTCCCTGGGTCCCGTCCCGGGTCGCGGTGTAAAGGGCCAAACGCCGGAGGGGCTGTATTCGAGAGGAGAGAGAGGGAGAGAGAGAGAGAAGCGGTTGATAGAGAGGCCCAGCTACATAGAGAGACTAGGCGCGGAACGGAGCGGATCATTCGATGCCATGGGAGCCCACACCTTGGTCCCGTTGGGGCCCAAACCTCGCATGGCTTACAGCGTGATGGCAGGTATCGATCTGGGACACCAACCGGTAGCCCGGAAACCCCGGGGGAAGACAGAGCCAAGTTATGCCTTTGCTAAAAAAACCTAAAAATCCCGTCTCCTACCTTCTTGACGCCTCAATTTGACCTCCTTGGTGGTGTTGACGGTGTAGAAATTGTAGCCGCGCTTGGTCATAATTTGGGCGGATAGCTAAAATCTGGTTTTCAGGGGGAAAATGTCTTCCAAAACCTGGAGGAAACACTCGTATTGATCGAGTTCCGGGTCGTCGTCCTCGACGTCGTTGAAGAAGATGACCGACTTGGCATCTTCGGCAAAGACCGTCTTGTTGAAATTCTTTTCCGTCAATACCTACAAGATTTGAAAAATTAAAGAAAAACAGATAAAATTAAATCAGCTCTTTGAGGTTCGAAGGCGCAGTTAGCCAAGATTCACGCTGTGAAGCACAAAATTATTCTATCGCAAATTTACGTAAATCTACTAATTCCCTTAAATAACTACATTCACCAACCTCTGTCCGGTCAAAGCCATCATACTCAAGATCGGGATATCCGAGGAACATGCATTCCAGCTCTTCCGTCTTCGAGAAGCCGGCATATGATCGAAGGGCCAGCAGGGCCAGCAACCCCAGGCGGAGTACCCAAGTCATCTGCAATTTAGGGAATAACCAATAAGAATACCTATTAATAAAAACATGGAAAGCAAAATCTGTATCGACACAGCAACAGGAAACCAATAAAGTTGGGAGGATGCGAAACGGCGGAGGCAAAACGAACACCTGACGCTCGGAAAGTCGAGGAACAAGGGAAGGGACAGGAACAACATGGTAATTACTTTTCCAGGATAAGAAAACTGTTGATGGAAGAGGGGAAGTATCAATAATCAAGTAGAAAAGGTTGTTGGAAGATTTGGACTTACAATCAGGTCTCGGCTTAGGCTTAGGATAGGCTTAGGCTTACAAGGCTCAGGCTCAGGCTCAAGCCTGTTCTTGGGCCTAAACAAGCTTTAGATTAGATTTAAGCTTAGGTTTAGGCATAGGCTTAGGCTTAAGCTCGGGCTTAGGTATACCGTGAGGTTTTACCTAGGCATAGGCCTATACTTAGGCCTAGTACGTACACGTACTTCAAGTTAATATGCCATGAGCGCAAAATGAGTACATAGGTTTTTGCATCAAACTTTCTACGCAAAAAAAAGGATTTCTACTCTAAGCCAAAAAAAATCATATCAAAAAATGACAAGAAATAAACGTAGAGCAAAATCACGATTCAATATTCAGGAATAATTTTAGAAACCCAGCTCCAAACGATCTGTGCGTCATCATCATCTCTTCGTAGAGAGTTCAGATGTCACAGTCCTCCCTCCCACCATCCCTCACCCCCATTCCCCCAACCCGTCACCCTCTAAAATTAGGCTGTCACCTTCCGAATCAATTTCGGGGTTGTGCCCCGGATTTTTTGGGGTTGATACACAGAGAAGGGCAAATAATTCGGGTGGGTGGCGGGGACTGGGGCTGAGGAGACAGGATGGCTGGGTGGGTGGATGGATGGACTTGCGATATCCCCCGGTTGTCTGCATTTTCGAAGTGTCGAAGCCCACCCGTCTTCCGTTTTGTCGTCATGTTTGTATAGAAGGGGTGCCCAAAGAATCAGTTGTTGCCGGGTTTCACACTTTTTACGGGGAACAGGCAAAATCCGTCTATGTGGGTTTTGCCGGTTGGGCTTAGGCTTAGGCTTAAGTTTTATGAGGCTTAGGTTAGGCTGAAGAGTACGACTAGCCTCAGCTTTGGCTTTGGCTTAAGCTTAGGCCTAGGCTAAGCTTAGGATAGGGCTTAGAATAAACCGCTACGCGTCGCGGGTTCTGCAAATGTTATAGAAAATCTACACCCAACAAAATCTTTGACCTTACCTAGCCGGATTCTTTAAGACAAAGCGATACACTTAATTTCATGCTCTCATCAGTTAATCGTTATCAATCTCAAGATGTTTAGTTAGTAAGAGACAGGAACTCCCCGTATACAACAACTACACAGCCAGGCAAAAGCTGGAAACCGATCCCCCGAACATTTGCAGTGAGGAACGAGTGAGGCTCTCAAGGACCCAGCCTCAGCTCATGCTCCCAGCCCCTCTTAGCCGCCCATTAAACTCGGCTGCCACTCAATCGTCTTCGCCCACCACCAATCTCTGCCCTTTATTGAAAAAAACTTAAGAGTAATGCATGAGAATTGACGATAAAATTAGCATAATTAAGCTCGATGTATGAAACCAATTTCGCAGTAACGTCACAAATGCTGGAGATCAATTTCTTTCTTGTGGTATGCGGGTTTTGGCTCAACGAATGCATCCTGGTGGGTCCAAGGATGCTCGCGGGGGATCACACATGCGGCTGAGATCATGTGACGACGTCTGGAAAGAATTAGAGGATTATGGCGGTTGGGACGCAATGTCCGTAGATCAAATGCTGTAGGTTTTTGGGTGGTTTTTGATCATAGGCTTCCCTGGAAAGATAGGCGGCCCTAGAATTTACATTTGCTTTTCCACGGCACGCTTCAGGCTGACAAGGATCCTATTTTACTACCATCGAGGTTTCTAGTTATAACCAAGCCTATTTTGTGCAGAATTTGCCTCTGATTCTGAATATGTTTAGCAAATTTGCGGAATTGCCGGCTTCCGGAAAGTTATGAACGACAAAAGTCCGCGAAACGCCGCGAATGAACCACTTTCTATGGTTTTCCTGAAACAATTTATACAATTTTGTAAACACATTCGGAATCAGCGCAAAATTCTGCACCCTACGGCTTGGTCCCAATTTGAAATATGCGAAGCCTAAGCCTAAACCTAGGCTGAACTTGACCCAAATCTAAGCCAAACCCTATGCTCAAGCCTAGGCCTAATTCGAGACGACAAAGCCCTCACCTCGTCCACGCCGGCTTCTTACTGTTATATCGGTGAAAGCATACGGCTCCAAGTATAATCCACAACACCAACGACCCGAACGACCAAGCCAACAAGATGTTCTCCATCGAGCTCCATTTGCATCTTTGAGAGGTCTGAACAAAAATCTAATTCTGGAAGACTTTGGACGAACCCCGGATGTTGTCGAATTAGAGCACTGGGCCCCAGCCAGGATAATCGTTTCATTCTGATTCACCGGTACTTCGTCCAGGCGCCATTGTTGCCGATGGTTTTCAAATTGTTCTAGTATTGCAAGTCGTTGTTGTAATTGTAATTTTTTGTAAGAGCCGCATATCTATAGTAGCAGACCTCTCCGTACCTTGAATATCATTTACACTCCCCGGAATTCGATTGATTTCCGCGCTGTCAGCATCGAACGGTGGTTCTCCGGCGTTAAGATCCATTAGCTCGAGATCATCTTCTCGCGCCTAGAGTATTAACGTCAGGTATTGTCAACAACACCCACCTCCGATTCATTTGGCCGATACACGACTTTTCTCGGTCGTCTTGTTGTTGTCGTGGTTCCTGCCGGGACATCGTCAAAAGGTAGTGCAACTCTTGGGGTTTGCGCAATCTGCCATCCCGTGGACGGTAACGTCAGCTGGAGCACATCTTCACCCTTAGTTTCCCTGACTGAAAATCTACCGTTGTGAAAACCGTAAAGAGCGGCTTACATAAATCGGGTGAAGGCGTGGAGCCTGGAGGTAAAATTATGTAGGTTGTCCGCCACGTGGGCTTTGATTTTCTAGGAGTCTCGGTTGTGGTTCTCTTTGTTGTGGGTGTCGTGGATGTTTGAGAGGTCGTTCTAAAATTATTTAAAATTGATTAATAGCAAGAATAACGAAATAAAAGTAAAAAGTATGATCTTCGGTGAGAACCCCTTACTCAAATCTCTCCAACTTCGTCGCCAAAACGGGCAGGAAACGCATCGTGGCGGCCATTGGAGGTTGAACTTCCCTAAAAATCGTCTATTAAAAATAGCAGTCAGTATTTTACTTGGAAGTTCTCGAAATGCTTCCACCAAAATCAGGATGTAACTCGTCGATACTGTTGAAATCGACGGACTTAATCAAGTATATACTTTTCGATGATTTTAACTCACGCTTGGTACCCTCTTAACTATCTGGTTTTCAACGATTGAAATTTGATTTGGCTTTGAGGGGGATTTGATCAGATCCACATCCCTAAAAATTGCTTCCGGTGAATTAAAAAATTGTTACCGATATGATATATATTTGAGGAAATGTGGAGCCCTTATAGGTCGGGCTAACGGTTCCATCGAGTGATCCACAACTCCATTGATTCGATATCCTTAAAAGATCCCACAATTTTGGTAGCAAAATGCTCCCACTTTCTCGAAGGTTTTCCGCATCTGTGTAGTCATTATGCGCTACGTGAATCCATTCGCTAGACACGGAAATTTCCCTCGCAAAGCTGACGGCATCGTTTAAGAGGTCTAAAAACACTGTTTAAACGGGGTTTTGTTTCTTACTAGTCTTGAAATGTTGATCCACAGCATCCAAACGCGTTCGCCGACCCTCTTTGTGCTTCAATATTTCCTCTTTTGTGAATGCACACTTTGGGGGCTAAATTCACTTGAATTTGACGACGTAACTGGGTGTTACTATGCTTTCCGAGTTGCAACCCCCAACACCTTTCCGGCACATCCGCAGTCGGCATTCAAATCGAAATTTATCACCTAAAATTGGATAGATAACAAAGACTACTCGAATAGCGGTACCCGAAACGAAACGAAACATCTTCGCCCTCCCGTAGATTTTCACTTGATAATTGCTGTAGGTGAGGTCGCTGAGCAGTTCCTGGTCCACGATGCAACTATTTTTGGTTATATTTAGCAAAAAAAGGCCTACCCATTTTCATCAATTAAGTGCATCACCTGGCCGGTGCGCGACACGGCACTACAGTATGTTAAGACCGTCAAAAATTGGCCTTCTTCTAAAAATATAATATTCTAAATCCTTAGTAATCTCCGATACCTTCACGCGGGAACTGGCAACTCCAGTCGTGCACTATCGGGTCGCCAATGGTAAAATTTGTCGGCATACGGTCCCAATGTGCGGCTTGACGGACGGCATGTGTACAATTTACGCTATAATTTTTTTAATTATGTTACGGGCTCTATAGTTTTAATCTTTAATCGAAAAATCATACTCTGATCGGTCGCTGATCTCTCGGACCGGAGCCTCGTCGAGGCAACGCAACGCGAAAACCCGATCCGACGGGGTCATCACCACCTAGAATGGCACGGGGATTTGGATAATGAAAGTTCAAGTTGCCAAACCGGATGGAAGCCGATTGAGATGAAGCCCGAGTAGACGCGAGACCCGTTCTAAAACGATATAATCTTGGGATAACTGAATCTACGGAAAGAGTTTCATCATCTAGACATCGACGAAAGTCCAGGAAAACTGAGGCATTAGACGATATGCTGGAGCTAAAGTGGAACGAGCAGGCTGGGGTTTCGGGCTGAAAATAAGGATTATGACTCTGGGCAGGTAAGGTATATTATCGGGGTAATTTTTTGTGAAAATGTCAAATTCATAAGATCCCAATTCAAATTTTCATGTAATTTTGTCCTTGGGAATTTCGGCATTATAAAAACACGACGTCTAATAGTAAATCACGCTATTTCCTACTTAGAGACTTATGGTATATCAAAACACCCACCTTATCCGTCACATAAATTCGACCTTGAAACGGCAGTGATGTCTCAATGTCGAGCATCACCCCATCTTCCACACACGTCATTTTTGGAGTACCTATGAAGAATTATACGATAAAATACTTAAGAGAATGCCCACCTAATATTCTGGCATAGTCAAAATCCGATGCCTCTATCCGGACGATAAGCAACGCGACAATCCCGAGCAACATTTCACATAGGATGCTCGTTATGTGGGATGCGATGTGTCCGGGTAGAAGAAGGAGTTCTGTGACGGCCACTGATTGAATGGCACTAGGCGTGGTGCGTAACCGTACATATGGAATGGGAGGTGAGTGACGGAATCGTGAGAACAACGGTTAAGACTGGGTACTTTTCTCAAAGGAAAATGCTTGATGTGATAGTTCCGTTTCCGTACTCTGAACTTTCTTAAATGGTTCAGATGGTAGGGAAAGACGGCTATTTTTTAGGATGAAACTTAAAATTCCGGAATTCGAGACTTCACAATTTCGACATTTTTGTTATCTAAATGAAAAATTCAAGTATCGACATTATGGAAATTCGATGTTTGAATTTCGGCATTCTCATAGCAGCACGGTTAGGGGCAATACAAACAATAAGAGAGGCTTTTCTAAATCTATATTCGTTCGATTGTTGGAGTAGTCATCGGCCGGCCAGATTTGTCTGTCTGCCTTTTCAGCCGGCAAATGTTTTCTTTCTGTCTTCCTGTCTGTCCAGCCACTGGACAAATGGATTTGGAGGAGCCGCAGGGGGGGGTGGGATACACAGTAAACATCGTAATTTTGTGCGCGGCGGAAATGGAGCCACGGAGTAACCAGGGTGAAAGCTTTGTTCTTCAGCTTAAAATCTTAATTTTTTTAGATTGTTGGGCTTCATTATTATACATTTTAGGGTGCATTCGTTAAAGCTCAAACTTCGAAAAATCTAGCTTTCTAGAGTTTTCAGAGATCCCAGTGGTCTAAAAAAATTCCGCGCAACGACAAATAAAAATGGAAAGATGCTTTCAACACAATCTATAGTTCGTGGAATATATTTCTAGGGCGCATCCATAGGGCTAAAATTCTAATCAAACTACATTTTTTTATAGTTGGCGAGATATCAAAAAGTCCAGAAAAATTGGCTAAGAAAAAAATAAGGGTTCAAACTTTAAGAAATTCTGTAGTGCACCAAAACCGTTAGTAGTGAAATACGGTAGACGGACAGTGGCACGTCTCCCCGGCCCTCCTTTTCTGACGATTCGAGCCGGATAATTGCCCCGAAACGGCACTTTGTCACACTATAGCCCGCCTTTGGCTACTGGCCTCCTCTGCCATTTAGGGGGTGAAAGTAGTCCGTGAGGAATCGTTTATTGCCATTGAGCGCATAATTGCAAAGCACTTCACTGTCAGTCGGCCAGCCATCAAACGAAATGCCGCCAGTCGTGGTTTATTTTCCGGCGTTTCTGAAATGAAAGTTAGTGCGTTTTGGACGAAGTCGCATTTCGGGGCTTTTGGAGTTCTTCGATACGACATCGCCGATCCGATAGTGTTTGAAAGTCAAAACAAATTCTTTTTCTCAAAAGTTCTCAGCAAAACTGATCTGTTAAACTAAACTAATTTTTGTTTTTTTAAATATTTTCAAAACATTTTTCGGATGGAAACATTTTCGGAGCGAAAATTTTTACAAGTTTTTTTTATCTGATTTTTAAAGCTTAAACCCGGTGAAAAATTCTATAAATATAGTTTATCCTCTATTATAGGATCGACACTAGGTAAATGTACACGCTAAAAGTCACGTTGTCGTACAGCGATTTTTTTAACATAGGATCTATCCAGAATCACAAACCCTATCGAGTTCAAGCCTGGTTACATCCTAAGGCTATAAAAAGATACAAAAATACTCCTTCTAAGCCTCGAACCACGTAGGCCTAGTCATATTCCATTCGTCAAAACTTTTAACTCACTGTTGCCATCCCCAATATGGTCCGGATCGCTCGGTCCGGATGGTGTTATCATCGAAAAGCCAGAATTTTCCGTCGCCAGATAAGACTTACCAGTACAAGCCCTCCCGCCGCACGATCGCCAAAATTCCCAGTCGTTGCTCCATCGGGTCCATTCCCATTTTGGCGGCGCGCGGGTGATTGGCTGCATAAAGTTTGGAGTGGGCCATTCTTGGCCTTGGAATTGGGCTGAGACCAGGGTACTGTAGGAAATGAGGAGGAATAATTGAAGCTTCATCTTCGGATCAGGCGTGCCAAGCGACTGCCAATGTTTGCCATCATCGCCTCTGGGTCGGGCTGATCCGGTTCCAGCAAAGCCATCTGCGCATGCGGGAGGACCTATAAATTTCCGATAAAATTCGAGTGCGGGTGGAGGGGAAGTGCTGCGCTGTTTATGGAAAGCAAGGGCAAAGCTTAGGCATCTAACGTCTAATTACGATTAAGAAAAACGGAAACAAAAAAGCTTCTCAGACCGATTTCGAGATTATGACTCGATGGGTTCAACTTGTAGGGTCATCCCAATCAAGTCGCATAAAATGCGATTCAGCGACTCATCCCAAAATTTCCTGGAGATATCTCCGGAGGCCTCCCAGCTCCTTCCGCGAAATGTCAATCACTCGAAATATTTTTTTGGGCCCCCAAAATGGCCCGTCGAATTGGGGACGGGGAGACGTGTTTGATAAGGCAGATTAGCATCTTGTTTTTGGTCTGATGGTCAGAAAATGATCGGAGTTAGGGAAAGTGGATGTAGCAGAGAGAGAGAGAGAGAGAGAGAGAGAGAAGAGAGAGATACAGAGAGAGAGAGAGAGAGAGAGAGAGAGAGAGAGAAAGAGACCGAGAGAGAGACAGAGGGTGGAAACTGTAAAGGAAAGGCTCTGAGTTCCAATTTAATCGAGATTACCTTTAGCCTCGCCAAAAAAATACCATCTGTGGAAGCCACATTTCTTGTCAAAAAAATTGGAGTTCGCACCGCGTTTTCTCAAATATAAAAAAATTTAAAGCTAAAAATATTAGCACTCTATTAATCGACTCAATCAAATTCCACATAAAATTCCAACGTGTATCTAACGAAACCACTGAAACAGAAAAATACCGAAAAACTTGGTTTCAAACGCCAAAATGCTCCTAAAAAGCTAGATGATGATGATCAGATGCTGTTAATAGATTTACTAACCATCTACATATCTTTTTCCGTACCAGAGATCCAAACCTGGCCGAGTATGCACTCTGAACATCATGGAGACCCTGAAACGTGCCGCGGGTCCGTTATCGGGCCGTATCCCCCGTCGCCCTCTGTCGAAACGGTCATCTGAAGGCCTGCCACTCAGCGTGGGAACGGCCAATTCCCGGGTTCACCCGTCAATCCGGGCCCCGATAACCGGTTGCATAAAAGGGCCCTGCCGGGCGTGTTCCTCACCACTTGGTCATCAGCCCATCCACACCGTAGGATGAAACTGTTGGCCGCATTCGGCCTTCTGGCCCTGGCCCTTGCCTCTTGGCAACCAGCCGACCGTCTCTACGATGGCCCCGAGAAGGCCTTCCGCGTCGGAAAGAGCTACACCTTCAACTACCAGGGACAGGTAAGGTTTTGGGTTTCTTTATGCTTTGTGGGAAGAGTAGGCTTAGGCTTCGTCTATGGGCTTAGAATGAGGCTTCTTGGGCTTTGGTTAAGGCTTAGGCTTAAGCTCGGTTTTAGCTTTTAGCCAGGCTTAGAAATAGGATTAGACATTGCTTCGACTCAAGCTTAAGCTTAAGCTTGGTATTAGGCTTGGGCTTGGGCATAAGCTTAGGATTAGGCTTAGGTTTGGGTTTAAGCTGGAGCTTGATTCTCCTTTAGGAATAGGTTTATGTAAAACACTAGATTCAAAATCACCGAATTTTCGCTTTCATGGCAAACATTGCGTTGCGTGTGCGTTGCGCACTCAAAAGTGATTGCATACGATTACTTCCACCCAAATTCCTAATTTTTTTAAAGTTAGTCTAGCTAAATTCGAAATTTCAGATTGCCCATGGCTTGCCCGTCAAGGGATCTTCCTCCCACTCGATCCAGCACGGCAAGTCCAAGGTCATCGTGACCGTTGGAGACAAATACTGGTGAGCACGACTCTCCTGAGATACCTAATCATTCCCTCAGGACCCTCCGCATGGACGACATCCGCCTCTCGCACGGACAGCGCAAGATCGAGGAGCCCCGCGTCTTCGACAACGTACGAAATAATCCGAATTTCCCAACGACCCACCCAATTTAGATGATCTCCCTCGAGGAGTCTGAGCTGTCGGAGGAGAAGCGCGAGATTCTCTCCCTCCCCGTCCGCTTCCGCGTCCACAACGGAATCATCTCCGAGCTCCACTTCTCCGAGCGCGACAACACCTGGTCCGAGAACCTGAAGCGCGGACTCGTCCAGATGCTCCAGATCAAGTTCTCCCCCAAGACCCAGGAGTTCAACGATGTCACCGAGACCGAGAACAAGTTCTTCACCCAGCCCGAGGTTCGGAATTTAGATAAATTGTTAAAATCAACTCTCAGCGCATGCTCGAGGGAGAGTGCGAGGTCTCCTACTCTGTCGTCGAGGGCCTGAAGCGCGAGGAGAAGGAGGTCACCAAGGCCGTCAACTTCGACAAGTGCACCAAGCGCGCCGACTTCCGTTACGGATTCCGTTTCACCTCTGGTAGGGGAAAATTTGTGGGTGTGATGGTGATTTAGAGTGCACCACCTGCGAGTCCCAGGACTCTCGCCCCGAGTCGCAGACCATCTACAACTACAAGGTTGTCGGTGACGAGAAGGAGTACCTGATCAAGGAGGTCTCCGTCAAGTCTGAGTAGGTCTTTCGGAATAGAGATAGAGAGAGAGAGAGAGAGAGAGAGAGAGAGCGCGCCAGAAGAGATAAATACAAAACAACAATTCAGGTACGCCTTCGCCCCGCTCGCCAAGGAGGAGGAGGCTCTGGCCACCTACATGCACACCATCATGCGCCTCATCAAGGTCGAGGAGGCCGAGCGTCAGTCCGAGCCCAAGTGGGGACCCAAGTCCTCCCTGCTCTACAACCACGAGGAGGAGATGGCCCGCGAGCAGTTCTGGATGAACGGTGACGAGGAGAGCTGGAAGCTCGCCAAGTTCGACAAGATCCCCAAGATCGTGAGTGATCATTTCCTACAATAATCATCACCGTCTTCTAGGAGCTCGTCGAGAAGTACATCTCACAGCTGATCAACTCGATCGAGGAGTCCGAGAAGGATGGAGTCAAGCTCGAGTCCACCCACTACATGGCCCGCATCGCTATTGTCCTGCGCATGTGCAACCGCGTATGTCAAGCAGTTAAATACTCTGATTTTTTTTATTTAGGCCGAGATGATGGAGGTCCACGAGAAGGTTTGCGAGAGCAACAAGTTCGGCAAGAACCAGAAGAAGGTCAACGAGATCATGGCTGACTGCCTTGCCATCGCCGGCACCAAGGTAGAACAATAATTTCCAGCTAAATTCTTTGTGTTTAGGTCACCGTCGAGCACCTCGTCGAGAAGATCGAGAAGAAGCAGATCTCTCCCCTGAAGGCTTCCCTCACTCTCAAGTCCCTCGTCAACGCCCCCGTCTCCTCGGAGAAGATCGTCGACGCCGTCCTCCGCCTCGGCAAGTCCAAGCAGATGCGTGACGAGCCCGTCCTCCGCCAATCCGCCATGCTCACCGCCGGAGCCCTGATGAACACCCTGTGCGGCCGCAACACCGAGCAGTGGGCCATCGAGCTGGAGGGAGAGCGCCGCTGCACCCGCGAGCAGAAGACCCAATGGCTGGCCACCCTCAAGAACCTGTACACCGAGTCGTCCTCCAAGTACGAGAAGGTGCTCGTTCTGAAGACCCTCGCTAACTCTGGCATGGACGTCGCCGTCCACTTCATCCAGGACATCATCTACAACAAGTCTGAGGAGCCCGTCATCCGCTCTTCCGCCATTGATGCCCTCCGCATGCTGCGTGAGGAGATGCCCCGCAAGATCCAGTCGATCCTCCTTCCCCTGTTCAAGGCCCGCCGTGAGCCCCTTGCTCTCCGCATGTCCGCCGTCTACCAGCTGATCCACTCCCGCCCTGCTCTCCCCATCCTCGAGCAGATCGTTGACACCCTCAACCGCGAGCACAACCACCAGCTCCGCTCTTTCTGCTACTCCCTGATGAACTCCTTCACCGAGTCCCAGAACCCCTGCGAGAAGAAGATGTCCGAGGACCTGACCGTTGCTCTCCGCAACCTCCGCTTCCGCCCCACCCTCGAGTCCCGCTACGTTCGCGCCTCCGCCTTCTGGCGCAAGCTCGACCTTGGCCTCTCCTTCGACATGGCCTCCATCTTCACCAACGAGTCCATCCTCCCCACCGAGCTCCTCGCCAACTTTGACTCGCTCTTCGCCGGCCAGTGGAACAAGCACCTCGGCCAGCTCGGACTCACCCAGCAGAACCTCGACCGTGTCCTCTACCAGCTGATCAACAAGTACGGAAAGTCCTTCGAGGAGTCCTCTGAGGTTGTCACCCGTGGCCAGCGCTCCTCCAAGATCAACAACATCCTCAAAGAGCTCGCCTCCGAGATGAAGATTGTCTCCCGCCGCGCTGAGCGTGATGCCGAGCCTTTCGGTATGCTGTACCTCCGCTACAAGAACCTCGACTACGCCGTCGTCCCCGTTGAGGAGAAGCTGATCGATGAGATCACCCGCAACGGTGTCTCCTCCATGGCTGACCTCATCCGTGACCTCGCCCGCGGAATCCGCTTCGACGTCTCCGTTGCCTCGTTCCTGTATGAGCGCACCCGCACCGTCGTCTCCCACACCGGTCTCCCCACCCACATCACCCAGAAGATGCCCACTATCGCCACCATCAAGGGAGAGATCAAGTTCGAGATGTCCACCCGCCCGACCCTCGTCCTGAAGGCTGAGCCCTCGGTTGCTTCGACCCACGTCACCGAGATGGTCACCATCCACCCCAGCAAGCACACCGGAGCCCGCCTTCTCCACTCCGTCCAGGCTACCCTTCCCATCGACATGTCTCTGACCTACGACTACGAGCGCGAGCAGCTCAAGGCTAGCTTCCGCACCCCCAAAGAGCAGAAGCGCGTTCTCCTCGTCGAGACCCGCCCCCTCAACTTCATCCGCACCTTCTCCCAGCGTTATTCTCCTCTTGTCTCTGAGAAGACCATGACCGTCCCCCGTCTCCAGCGCTCTTCCGTCCACTACGAGCGCGAGTTCGGCCGTGAGCTGACTGGCTTCAACGTTGAGGTCTTCGGAACCGTCCACCGCCGCGCCGCTGAGGAGCAGGTCAACGCCCTGCTCTACGGTGAGAACCACGTCCAGGTCATCGTTGTCCCGACTGAGGAGGCCACCAAGGAGATCGTTTTCGAGATTGAGCCCAAGTGGAACGCCGAGAAGAAGAACTTCGAGGGACCCACCTACGATCAAGAGTTCGAGTCCAAGGACTTCCGCATGGAGGACTCCGAGGAGGACAACCTCTACGAGCCCGAGAACAAGCGCTCTGCCCGCCACCAGGAGACCCGCAAGTACTACCAGGAGAAGCCCACCGACAAGACCAAGGAGGGCCGCATGCTCGTCAAGGTCTACACCGTTGGAGGACCCAAGGAGCTGAAGGGACAGATGGAGTTCATCGGACAGTGCGACCGTGAGGTCAAGCAGTGCCGCCTCGAGATCATCGCCAAGCGCTCCCCCCTCACCGAGGAGGAGACCCGCGAGTGGGAAATGAACTGCAAGGTCGAGATCGTCATGCCCAAGGGACCCAAGTCTATCCGCGAACTGCGTGAGCAGAAGCACCGCGAGATCCAGGCCACCATCAACCTCCGCTGGGGAGCCAACGAGAAGAACACCATCCAGCTCCGCGTCCAGGCCGAGCAGGACCGTGAGATGCAGAAGCTCGTCCGTGGCATCATCGTCCGCGAGGAGAAGGAGGAGAAGGAGGGACTCGAGCAGCTCGAGGTCCTCAAGGAGGCCGCCCGCCTGAACAAGGTCTCCATCCTCATCAACCACGATCTGTCCAAGAAGAACGAGAAGCTCTTCGAGCAACGCTACTCCCTGATCAAGGCCAACTACTACCTCCAGTCGTCTGTCGAGCAGGTCCGCCGCAACAAGGGATCCATCCTTGTCAAGCTGACCGTCGAGCCCAAGGAGTGCCGTCGTGTCAACCTGACCCTTGAGACCTCTGAGGAGCGTCTCACCGTCGAGTCTCTGAAGACCCCGATCCGCCTCCCCCTCCCCACCATCTTCAAGTCGTCGTCCATCAACGTCTTCAACAAGATCGTCCGTGCCACCAAGACCGCCACCTGCGAGGTCCGCTCCAACAAGGTCTCCACCTTTGACCGCGTCACCTACAAGGCCCCGATGACCAACTGCTACACCGTTCTGGCCAAGGACTGCTCTGAGGAGCCCGAGTACGCCGTTCTCATGAAGACCGTCCGCAAGAACTCTGAGGAGAAGCAGATCAAGATCGTCCGCCTCAACAAGGAGATCGAGGTTGAGCTGAAGGAGGACGAGCTTATCGTCAAGGTCGATGGCCGCCGTGTCCGTGATGAGGAGCTCCTCCGCGAGTCCGGAATCGAGATGATCGGTTTGTTCATCTACCTCATTATTATAGAGTCATTTAGGCGAGCGCTCGGTCGAGATCACCCTGCCCAAGATCACCGTCCGTTTCGATGGCTACAAGTGCGAGGTCAAGGCCGACAAGCGCACCGAGAACAAGCAGTGCGGCATGTGCGGACACTTTGACGGAAACCGCGACAACGAGTTCCGCCGCGCCGACAACCAGGAGACCGGTAATTCCTCGGGATCTTAAATTTAAAAAAATGATTTCCAGATGACATCGAGGAGTTCCACCGCTCTTGGCTGCGCAAGGACTCTGAGTGCGAGATGGAGGAGAACAAGCTGAAGGAGAAGAAGAACTACGGCATGGAGGAGCGTGAGGAGAAGAACTACGAGACCGAGTCGTCCGAGGAGGACTACGAGCGCGTCAAGGTCGTCAAGAAGGCCCACCAGAACATCCAGTACCGCGATGAGGACAACGAGACCTATGGCATAAATTAGTATAAAGACTGTTAATAACTATATTTCAGAGCCCGAGCGCAAGACCATGATCCTTGAGCGCGAGTCCAAGACCTGCTTCTCCTCCGAGCCCGTCAACCAGTGCCGTCCCGATGATGAAGCTGTTGAGAAGAAGGAGAAGAAGGTATCGAGACCCCCTAGAAAACAACTTATTCCTCGATCAATTCAGATCCGCTTCTCGTGCCTGCCCCGCAACGACCGTGAGGCCAAGGAGATGCGCGAGCAGATCAAGCGCGGAAAGGACGTCACCGACAAGGTTGAGGAGCTGAAGGTTTCCTTCTCCGAGACCATCCGCGTCCCCACCCTCTGCCGCGTCTACTAGGCACCTAATCGGGCCCAGCCCCCCCTTCGGTAATAAACTCTCAGCACTAATGGCTTGTAGAAGATACCTCGAAAAATTCTTAAACTACACTTCCAATGGGATACATACCTGCCTGAACCTACAAAAAAAATAGCGAAATCAAATCAACACAAAAACAGCCAGAAAGCTACATAAAAACTAGCGCACTATTTAACAGACTAACGTTTTTAGAGGTTTTCTATGGTTGAAACACCATAATAGTATTTAGAAAAACATAACTATTTTTGGGTCATATTCAATACCTTTCGACCGAAAAGATAAAACCTGGTGAAAATTTTTGACTGAGTTTTGGTGGTAGAAAGGAGACATTCAATGTTATCCAAAATATTTTGTTTTTCATAATTCGCATTTGACAGAAAAGAGGAAGATTAGCTTTCCCCCCCCGTGAAAAAGCCCCCCCCCCCCCCCCCCTCCCCCCCTCCCCAACCGAAATAGCGCCCCGAAAAGCATCTGCAAGCTCCTGCCGATTCTAATCAATCACCATTCCGGCGCGCCGCACAGATGGTCCGATATCGTCTTTTTGCGTTTTAACCGTATCATTTGTCAAAATTTATCAGAAAATACAAGCAAAAGTATCAATATATACACTTAGTAAAGCAAAAATCCTAGGCAAATCATCAGCACGGCAGCAGATATCTTTCCATAGGCGGCTGCGTTACAGTAGTCACCGGTGCAGCAGTACTGGTCTCCGTTGTAGGTGGTCAGCCGTTGTTGACCAGTTGTCTAGATTGGGGTTAGGTTAGTAATGTAGCTATTATCACCTGGCATTCAACAACATTCATTCCGGTGTTGCCACATCCGCATCCCCATCCGGCCACATGCTTGCCGTCGGAGCCCTAAGCAATTTAAGGTAACCTTACAAAAATAGTTCATGAGTTTTCTCAGAAAATATGTCAAAACTACAAAACTAATTTATAGTCGCTACAAACTACAACGTACGCAAAGAGTCTCGAAGTGGAGGTTTTCCCTCGAAATTTTGTATAGGCCTATTAACCTAAGACTTTTTATAAACTTTCAGGCACGATCTGTAACCTTGTGTGTTTTTTTTTCATTTATTAAATTCTGTCCTGCAAAAAGAAACGGTAGTAATGATATATTTTACTTAGATACTTAGATACCGATCCTGTTCTTTTTCCGCTCCCTCAACGTTTTCAAAGAAAAAACTTAAAGACCTTCTCAAAAACTTACGATCCCATGTAATTTTGAGCAGTAGTTACAGCCAGCGGGGCAGTTAATCGCAGTCTAAACTCTTTGAGTTCTAATTTTGAGTGCATACATCGGATGTTCGGCCCATCCCGTTGTAGTTGACGCCATAGTAACAACGAATAGCCAACGCCGTGGAGAAAAGAGCGAGAAAAACGATCAAGAACTTCATCTTCTTTCGAATAGGCTGAGGAAAACTTCGAGGCAATTCGACACAAACAACGTGCTTCTGGGGTTGGCTTATCAGGGGGTTTGCTCCATTGAAAACAACACAGCCGGCCCCTCGCTACAATGTACACCCTAGTGGGGCAATAATCTGTTTATATCGCGTTTAAGGAGTTTGTTTCAAACCTGGTAGAATCGATTTTCAAACAATAAACAGGACAGGAAGTTAAAACAACGCCTGAAAGCAACCTTTACGTCTAGTTGTACTACGTTCTCTATCGATTTCTTCGAATTCCCCTGTCGCTTTTCCGGCCCTGTACTTTCGATTTCCACATTTTGAAGTTCAGGCACTGGGAAATGTCGAAGTTATGGAATTTAAAAATGTATAAATCGTCGTTCGGGAGTTGCCGTTCTGATATCAATGCAGGTTCTCACATTGGTGTGAGGTCAATGCAGGCTCGTTGTAGATAAAACCAAGACAATGTCCTTTTATTGAATCTTTGTATTTATTAACTCCCAGTAGCAGACTGCTGAGATAATGACCATCTTATAGACAATGTATTTGCAGTACGTTGGCTGGGTACGCCGGAAACGGTGGTGCTCATTTCCATTGGGAGCTGTCTGGCTGCTCTCGGGCGGACGAAAAAGGCCGCGACAACTCTATAGTACTAGGATAAAGCTACCGCTTCCATTTGGATACCCATGAATCGCGTTCCAGAACGGGATCAGCAATGTCGGGACCGTGTAGCCGAGGAAGCCATCAACGATCCAGGCGCCAAAGGCCCATTGAGTGAAAGCAGCAGCAAAATACACTGCATGGTTGGCAAGGATCTCAAAAATTACAGTTAGATGATAAATTATAGACGTAATCCCGACCGCCATTGTCCCGAAAAAAACCGAAAGCCAAAATCCCGACAGTTGATATCCCGACATATTCTCGACGCCATTTTGAAAGGCCTGACCCTTTAAAAATTTGTTTTACATATCGTAATTGTATTCTGTCGGTGTTTGGCTTTCGGGACTTTCGCTGTCGGGATTCTTCCGCTTCCCCTCAGGAAACGAACACACAAACAATATCGATTTTCTGGCAACCTCGCTTTTAATACTCGCACCTGTTGCATCAACCGTTGCTCCACCCCATTTTGCAAGCCATGTTGCTATATTGCAATATTTCAACCACCGAGAAATCGTAACTTACAGATGACCTCTCCTTCAGCCTCTTCACAATTGTCAGATCTATCCCGAGAATGACTGCGTCGAGAGCGGCTGATCCGTAGTCAAGCGCTGCCTAACAAGAAAAGTAATGTCAATTAGATACTTAGATTGGATTGATTGATTGAGATTGAATAATTCTATACCTTAACATGCCCTCTCCAATCTCGATTGTTAATATAAAACTGATTATACGCTCCAAGCCTCGGATCGTAGATCGGTCCGCAAAATTTCAGGCGATGCCGGAGGGTGCCCGTCCAATGCCAGGTATCCACTAAATATTAGACATTTCTTGCGCTACCACACTGGTATTTTTTTGCTAAAATTTGAAACATTTATCCCGATATGTTTAACTAATTATGAGACCTACAACGAGTGAGTTGGCACAGGTATAACACCAACGGCAGTGAAATAAAACATAAGATTTGTAGTGGTTGTAAGCTGGTGACTCGCTTGTAAAAACGGGCCTCGAAGTGGATGGCAAAGAATCTAAAGAGGTCTATCAGCACTTTGGCTGGTTTTCGCTTACCTATTAATGGCTAACGCCAGCTGAAAAAGCACCGTAGCTTTTTGGATAGCTATCGTAATTGTGCTGACGATATTATTCAGACGAAAGTATGAATATGGGTCCCCATCCGTGTTAATACATACCCAGCTAAACAAAACTAAGTTTGACAAGTTTTTCTGCATGTCTGACTCCTTTGTCAATAGACAAGAACTCATCATAGGCAACACCATGGCATACTGCAACCGGCAAAACAGATCCGAATATATATAGGCCTGTTGAAAAAGGTATACAGGTGATATATTTGCCTTACTTTCACCCCTATCGAGAGATGCTTTTGTTGAAAAGTATAGAAAATAGCAATGCAACATGCTGTGAAGCTGGCCATGCATAGCTAACGTCACGTATTTTATGGATCCAGGGTTCTTTGGCATTATCAGGGGGAGGAACCAACTTCTTCGATAATTCCAGAAATTCATAGTAGCATATGGTTTAATAGCGTTTTTAGTAAAAACCAGCTGTATTTTATACAAAAAACGATAAAAAATTGGAAATTTCGTTGTGGAAATTTTGGTAGAAAAATCAGGAGTTTGTGCACGTTTGAAAACTGTAAAGTGTCTATGTTGAGGACTAGTAAAAACAGATAGAAGCGCTGCCTCTATTTACAGTAGAAAGATTGGTCCTAAAAAAAGCTGGTTTGCCTCCGATACATCCCCCGATAACGAGAAAGAACCGTACTGGGTGTCCCAAAAAAAAGCAGCCCCCTCTAGCGGTCCGGGGGAAGCTCAGGTCGGGATAATTTTTATACCATTCGAAAGCCCTCGGAAAGGCGAGAAAACAAGCGGGATTAATTTTATGAGATTTATTTTTATACGCTGGATATTCAACGTTTTTCTAAAAAGCAGGTAGATTTCCAATAGGAATTTCGCGATTAGCATGCAGATCTCGCTTAAATCTGCCGTTTCATGGTTTTTGGACGTAAAATTTACTAATAAAAATACATAATAAAAAAAATGAACCCTCCTTGTTTTCTCGCCTTTTCAAGTGCTTTCGATAGATACCTAAACGGTGGAAATCGGACACGACTGCGCGCCGCTAGAGGGGGGTGCTTTTTTTTGGGACACTCTGTATATCCTACTATATATAAAAAAATAGTGTTTGTGTGTGTGTGTGTGTGTGTGTGTGTGTGTGTGTGTGTGTGTGTGTGTGTGTGTGTGTGTATGTGTGTGCATTTGCCTGCAACTTCCGTCCGTATGTTCCAGTCGTATCTCAATAGGGGAGAAAGTTTAGGGTACGTATGATACGTCATTAGGTGCGTAATGGTCATGACACGACTGCACACAAATGAGATTTTTAAAAATCAGCTGTTTTCGATATTAAAATTAAGTTTTTGTCAAAATCTAGCTCGACCTCTTTGTTAGGAATCAATTTGCATGCACCGGAAGTGGGGGAAGCCTATATAACGGCGGAGAGGACGCGCTTTTCATTTTTCTGCACAGGAATTCAGGTGTTTATGCATAGTGACGAAGTATGGGGGTAAGACGGGGGCCAGGGTTGAAAAGTCGCGAAGCGGCTTTTCAACCCTGGTATATGTTTAATTTACCATAGTTGTCACGCTAAACATTGAGATATTGACTTCGGGGGTGAAGGCTGGTGCATAACTCCAAAAGATATGATTGTTATATATATAGACGTCATCATAGGTATCAGCTGTATAGACCATATCACAAGGAAACCTGGCCTGCCAACGACGGCATATGGTTTTTACCAGTTTTTAAGGGACAACCACCTGAGGAAGTCTCTAATTACGCATCCAGATTGTGCCTTGGTGCCTAGCCATTATCCCTAATTACCTTTCCGAACACATTCTTTGAATGAAAAACCAGAACCAAGCCATTTTGATTCATTCACCCTTCCAAAAATGAACATTCGGCCCCCAGAGTTTGCTTGCCATCTTTATCCATTCAAGAGAAACGGCAGAGCAAACAATAAAACTGAGAAAATGCTTATCGTTCTGGCAGCGAGATTGCATCGATTGCCCTTGCAGCAATATTGCACTCCGTTGCTGAGCCGCTGCTTTTTCGAGGTCTGGAAGACGAGTGGAATTTGATATAAACTATATATTTTGATGTACCTCACAGTTATAAATAGCGGCATTGAAAAAAGTGCCGCAACCACAGCCCCACAGCGTGCTTGTGATGTCGGTTTCCTGGAATAGTAAAGTACAGCGCTAAAAGTTGAGTATGAGATACACAGCGATTTAAACCATACCAGCATACTTTTTGATCGTTTTTGCATTAAGCGTAGCTTTTGAAAAAATCGTTTTGATACCAGGATTCAACCTCCGTCAGAGTGCTAATGACCCGCTTTACAGTTCGAACGTTTTTATAATGGCTCCTCGTTGGTCTACAGGCACGTCAATTACACTAAAGGTTTCGTCCTGGTTTGTCGAGTATTTTGGCATATTTTGCGCCCTTACAGTGCAACGGAAAGCCATGATATTACAATAGATGCAGCGGCATCGGGCAATCAATGTGCAATCAAAAATTTTTTAGAATTTCTAGGTTCCCAGATTCCCGGAATTTACAATCGTATCCCAAAAAAACACTCACCGTTGTCACTCGCTTTACACAATATTCACAGCCAAACGAACAGGGTGTCGTTAGCTAAAACATTTCTAAAGTGGATTACCAGCTATTTCAAACCCATGTTTGATGTTTGAGCCCATTTGGATTGATCTCCGTGTAGCAGTCGATAATTGCAGAGCACGGGTTGAGATAGATGGTTAGAAAGTAGAAGAGATACACAATATGATGGTGGGGCATGGTAGTGCAGGTCGCTTGTGTGTGGATGGAACACCAGGATGTGTTGGGCCCAGATCATGTTTGTCGCCCTGCTACCCATGATTCAATGTTTATTGATGATGGGATTGGGGTGGGGGTGGGAGGAATGGGCCGGTCTGCGATAATATTCGCGTCTTCACGTTGAGCCGAAGATGTGATAATTAGAATTACGAAATCGCCTAATTAGGGAGAGAGCGAAATAGTGAGAGAGAGATAGAGAGAGAGAGAGAGAGAGAAGAAAAACGAGGGAGCTTAAGCCCCGGCTAACCTCTTTTTCAGATCCTCTCGACATTTTTCACGTCATTCTGAGAATAGACCAGCAAAGAACGTTTTGAGCTATGTTTAGCCCCATAAAAATTGGTCTTT